AATTAGGATATGGACATAGTAGCTATAAGAGGGAAGAGAAAAAGGGGAAAAAAAGTTTGCTTTTTTTTTCTTGGAAGAAACCGCCTATGCAAGTAAAAATGGTTACACTTATTCTAGATTATATATATGTATATATAGTGTATCCTTTGAGGTGGGAGTTTGGGAGGAATCTTGTACAGCAAACCGTATTCCCATTGTTAATTTCAAACCTTTTTTATATTGATACTTTTATTTGTGAAATACATTGCTCATACTCAAGATATTTTCACACTGTTAAATTTCTATACAGTTTTTGTTATTGTAAGTTTCTATTTTGTTTTATTTTTTTTTTCACTGAGCTACATACCCAGTTCTTTTTATTTTTAAGACAGAGTCTCACTAAATTGCTGAGGCTGGCCTTGAAACTGCAATCCTCTTCCTTCTGGCTAAATTTTTAAAAAGGTTTTAAAGTCTTATTCTCAATTTCTTACATTATTGTGGAATGATAAGTGTACCTAATGACCTCAATTTACAGCCACATTTTGAATAATACTATTTAAATATTTTCTAGAGTAGATAATAATATAAGATGTTTCTGGCATGTCACAGCTGGAACTTAGAATTTGGAATCACATTTCCCAGAAAAACAGCGTAAATACTATTAATATCACAGTGTAAAATGGGCCATGAACCCTGACCTTCAAAAACTATTACTCTAGGAGGACATTCTTATCCTTTACAAAAAGCATTTATTAGTGTCTTTCTGTAAGACACTGCTAGGGACACCAATAAAATATAAAGATTTCAAAAGAATGTGTATGCAGGAATASTGACAGTAATAAATAAAAGTGTTTATAAAGTAAAGAGGTTATACTTAAATTCTGGATGGGTGAGCTTGGCGTCTTGGTAAAATGAGACAATACTGGATCTGTTATTTGATGCAAACTTCACAATCTTAACAGAGGTAATTTTTCTCATAGGTATCATGTCACAACCAAGAACTGAACCAGAAGTGAAATTGGAATTTTCTAGTTCTTTTATCATTCTATTTTCTGATGTAAAGCTTTAATGAAGATAATAAGARATGAAACCATATTATAGGCAGTGATTAGACAATGGATTTGGTAGTTGGGTACTAATTAGAAAATTGCAGCCAGGTGTGGTGGCTCGCGCCTGTAATCCCTATGACTGGAGAGCCTGAAGCAGGAGGATCCAGAGTTCAAAGCCAGCCTTAGCAATAGGGAGGCACCAAGCAACTCAAGACACCCTGTCTCTAAATAAAATACAAAATAGGGCTGGAGATGTGGCTCAATGGTTGAGTGCCCCTGAGTTCAGTCCCCGGTACCAAGAAAAAAAAGTTGTAGAAAAGAAATTTTAAAAACAAGAAAATGAAAATAATAAAAGTAAAATTAGTAGCACACTTGCCTGGCATGTGTGAGGCACTGGGTTCGATTCTCAGCACCACATATAAATAAATAAAATAAAGATCTATCAACAAATWAAAAAAAAGGAAAGAAAATTTGCAGAAAGGAACGATAGGTAGAAAATGGTGTTTTCAGAAAATTAATCTGCATGAGGATTTGCGTTCAATCTTCCAACGTAAAGAAAAAGGAAAAAGATTGGGCTGGGGATGTGGMTCAAGCAGTAGCGTGCTCGCCTGGCATGTGTGCGACCCGGGTTCGATCCTCAGYACCACATACCAACAAAGATGTTGTGTCCGCCGAGAACTAAAAAATAAATATTAAAAATTCTCTCTCTCCCTCCCTCCTCTCTCACTCTCTCTTTAAAAAAAAAAAGAAAAGAAAAAGGAAAGATTAACTTGGCCTTGTTAACTTGGCCTTGTTTAATTRAACCAACTAGGAGTTGGCTAGAGTTGTAATGGATTATCTTCTAACATGTGGAAGTTATAGAATGTTTCTTTCTTTTAGTTATATTTTGGAGGTTTAACTACTTTTTAAGGAAATGTTTATGAAATTTTTGAAATTACTTTTTTTAGTACTGGGGATCAAACCACTGAGCTATATCCCAGCCCTTTTTGTATTTGAGACAGGGTCTTGCAAAATTGCTGACACTGGCTTTGAGCTCAATGATGATTCTCCTGCCTCAGCCTCCTAAGCCACTGAAATTACAGGTGTGCACCACCACACCCATCTTATTTATGGGTCCATTTTTATGGGGAAAATTTGAACTATCCTCCTTCTCTTTCCTTTTATTGGTGCATACTAGGGATTGAACCCTGGGATACTTAACCACTGAGCTACATCTCTAGCCCTTTTTATGTTTTATTTTGAGACCAGGTCTCACTATGTTTATGTGGCTGGCCTCAAATTTGTGATCCTTCTGCCTCAGCCTCCCAAGTTGCTTGGATTAAAGGCATGTGCCACCATGCCCATCCTATGAACCATCCTTTTAGTAAAATATCATGTAAATGACTAATGTACTTTTAAAATATCAACTTTGAGTATAGTTTACATTTAATAAATATACTCATCTTAAGTATGAGTTCAAGTATTAAGTTCAAGACTTTAAAAAAAAGGTACAGGAGATTGATCCTGGGGTCTTCAGTTACAAGTCATYAACTTCCCATCCCCCCTCAACAAGTTTTCATGGCTGACCTTGAGCTTATGATCCTCTTGCCTCAGCCTCCCGAATGTCTAGGTTTATAAGTGTGCACTACCACTCCTGGCTGATAGTTCAAGTTTTAACAAATGTATGTACTTTTTAATCTTTGCCACAATCAAAAATGTAAAACATTTGCATGACTTTGAAAAATTCTTTGGTTTGTATAGTCAGTCAATCCCCCAATGTCTGCTTTTGTTTCTTTATTTGTTTTAAAGTATAATTTACATTCATTCACTCCTTTTGGTGTATAATTAGTTCTTTTGTCAAACTTACACAGTCAGATATCAATCACTGCAGTCCAGATAAACCCTAAAATTTTTTTCTTGCCTCTTTCATTGTTAGTCTTTCCCACGTGTTTTTAAAACCGTCTGATTTATGTCACAAAATAATTTAAAAGTGCTTCTAATATTTGAATTACCTATTTTTAAGAATTCCAATGTATACTGTTTTTGCCTTTTTTTTTTTTTTTTCCTTTTTTGGTACCAGAGATTGAACTCGGGGGCACTTGACCAGTGAGCCACATCCCCAGCCCTATTTTGTATTTTACTTTAATTTTTTTTTTCTATTTTGTATTTATTATTTAGAGAMGTGAGTTGCTTAGCGCCTCGCCATTGCTAAGGCTGGCTTTGAACTCGTGATCCTCCTGTTTCAGCCTCCCGAGCTGCTGGGATTATAGGTGTCCACCACCATACCCAGCTCTGCCTCAGTTTTTGCCTCTTAATTATACTTTTTAGGGGCTGGGGTTGTGGCTCAGAGAGAGGTAGAGTGCTCGCCTAGCAAATGTGAGGCACTGGGTTMAAACCTCAGCACCACATAAAAATGAAATAAAGATATTGTGCCCACCTACAACTAAAAATAAATATTAAAAAATTATACTAATACTGCTTAAACCTTTGTACTTCCACTCTTCCATTGTCATTTTGTTCTCTACTGATATTCTCGAATACTTTCCTTAGTACAGTTCTATTTTTTTTTTTTTTTAAATAACCTAGCCGCCACACAGCCTTGTAGGTTCAAACAGCAAGTCTTTTTTTTTTTTTTTTTAAGAGAGAGTGAGAGAGGAGAGAGAGAGAGAGAATTTTTAATATTTATTTTTTTTTTAGTTCTTGGCAGACACAACATCTTTGTTGGTATGTGGTGCTGAGGATCGAACCCGGGCCGCACGCATGCCAGGCGAGCGCGCTACCGCTTGAGCCACATCCCCAGCCCATTAGTACAGTTCTAGAAGTGCCCCCACAATGTTCCTGCTCTAGTTTTTTTATCAGTTGGATGGTTTACTTCACTTAGAAAATACAGGCATCCCCACATCTTTCATTGAAATATCTTACTTGCCTCTTCTATATCTTGGAAAAGAGGAGTCCTAGGCAAATTTAGAGTATAATATGTTCCCATTTTTGTCATTGCTCTAGCCTCAATGTCTTTCTGTAACTCTTCCTTTCTATTATAAAACATATCTAGATTGTTACCATCATGTAAGAAAAAAAAAAAAAAAAAAACAGATACCCTTGACTGGTTCTTATTGTTCTGTAAGTATTATTTACTTTCATTCTTTTCACTGGTAAATTTCTTGAGTTAAAKGATCAGTTCTGCTTTCCTTTTCTCACTGTCTGTTTTCTCTTGGTTTTTATAATCTGAWTTGCCAGTATCACATCATAGAAAGTGTGCTCTAAAATGTTATGAACGACTCCTGACCAATAGATAAGCCTGTTTTCTCTTGAGCTTTAAAGGTTTACAAAAGCTGTTGATGTTTGTTTATTCTGTCCCATCCTAATAGTTTTTCATTGACAATAGCTGTTTTTCAAAACAAAGGCTTACTGGTTCATGCTTCCTTTTGAATAGCTTCTTCAGAAAAAAGTGAAAATGGCATGTTTAAAGTGAATTACAGAACTATAGTAGATTTGTAGTTGGTGTTTCACTCCTAATTGAAATGTAAAACAAAGGGTTTGCATCATGGATTAGGAGGGTTGAATTTCCATTGCTTTAAGTCAAACACTTGGATCAATTCAACTCTTCTTATCAAAATTTCCTTTTGCGATGTGGGAAGGGAAACCTTCCATTTTGTAGGTAAGACACTAAAGCACAGTAATTTATCTGGCATCTCATTTTGTCTATTTTTTTTCCCTGCCCTATTCCTGTGATTTTTGTTTTTGCTTTTATTTTTGTGGATTTGGAGGATTTTGGTTGTTTATTTGTTTAAAGTATATAGTAGACATACTCATTTGGATGTCATTCTTAATGATGGTAAAGCACATGGAGTCATGGGCCAGAACAGCAATTAAGAATGAGAAAATCAAATATTTATAAATTAGCTGGAGTAGTTTTCACTGTTATAAATTAACGTCTAGGCTATTTTATTATAGAATATTAATGTGATGAAAACTTTTGTTTGTTTTGTTTAGCTTGTCAGCTCATTTGCAGCTTACATTTACTGGTTTCTTCCACAAAAATGGTACGTACTTTAAGTATTTTGGCATCCAACAACCAAATATGTTTGGAAATGTTTTAAAAAATTGGTATTAAGATTACATTTAATGGAAAGATGTTCTATTGGGAAAGTGTTCTTTGTTGTTTTTCAGTGCTGGAAATGGAGTCTAGGGCCTTGTGTAAGTTAGGTAAGTGCTCTACTGCTGAGCTCAGCCCCAGCCCTCTGCTACTTGTTTTTGAACTTCAGGTTTGAAATCTAATGATGAAAATTTTAATCAATTGCCTTAGAACTGGAATAGGGGACTCGGGTTGTAGCCCAGMGGTAGAGCACTTACCTAGCATGTGTGAGGCACTGGGTTCAATCCTCAGCACTGCATATAAATAAGAAAAAAATAAAGTTTCGTTGACAACTAACTAAATAAAAACATGTCTACATATATTTAGAAAAACCACAATAGGTAAAGAATCCATTCTGCAAAGACATTTTGAGTTAATGTTATTGCATCATGTTTTTTTCTAAATAAATGGATATTATCAATATGTTAGGCATTAAACCAAGGAAATTATATAATATTTTATATTCAGTAAAACCTGAAAGCATGCTGGGGA